GTGCTTCAAGAGCACTAGAACCACATGGGCAAGTCTCGCTACGAATAGCTGCAGACCTGCGTCCTACTCATCAATCAAGAGATATACACTTTGGTGTGTCCTGTGTAATGCAGCGAAAAATGCTGCATGTGAGATCTCAAAACTGACAATGGATCAATCATAACTACTACTACTACTACTACTACTACGACGACGACGACGACGAGGAGGACGACGACGACGACGACGACGACGTTGTTAGGGGAGACGGAGGGTTTTGCTATGAGGGGATGTGCTTACACAACTTCATCCGCAGCAGTAGACTGCAGGCTTCCTTGCTGCTGTTACTCACTTGCAAACCTCCAGCCTATCATGCCATCTTCGGATGTCAACATGTTCCTGGTGAGCCACTGTATCTGAAGCTGGCTTTGTCTTCAAGGCACTCTGTCGAAACCGCAGCCCGGGCACTGCCACTTTCTGCGGCAGGAAGGCCCGCCAGCTTGCGGGAGAGTTGCGCACGAGCGTGGAGGAGTAGTGCGGCAACTCGCCATAGATGAAGTCGACATGCACCCTCAAGACGACAGGATTGAGAGTAATCATGTAGAAGCTCCCCGCGACTACCAGTATTACTGTTACTATTGCTACGAGTTACTGTTGTTCTTATTGCGAGTATTGCTAATACTTGCACGATGGAGGCCATTCCTCAGTAATCAGCACCCTTGGAATTGCCAGCCGGAATCATCAGTGAAGTCATTTACTGATCCACAACCTCAGAGCAACGGCCATGTGAAATTGTAGTTCCCTGATGGTGGGAACCCAATATAGACCTCAAAACACGATGATCAAAGAAAGGAGCCTGTAAGGTTGGGAAACCCCCAGATGCATACTAGCATGTGAACAGCCAAGAACAGAAGTTTGGCTGAACCCTGGCTGCATATTATATAGGGTTTAGGCTTTAAGGTCTTGAAGCGGTTTTCGAGCAAGTAGGAACAAGACTCCTACAACTGCTTCAGACAGAGTGCTCTGCCGGAGCATTGTAGAAGCCACCTAAGTAGTTACCAACATCATTCTGAGGTCTACTTGAGGTACCCTATACTAGAGTCACACAAAGAACCTAGGACCATAATGTCGTTAATCACTAAAACCCCTACAGCATGTGACCTCATGGCTCATATATCCCTAAGCCCTAAACCCTCCCTCTAGATCTGGCCTCAAGAATACACCCTAAACCCCAACCCCTAACCCTGCTGCTGCTCAAGGGGCTGATGCTTCAAGTGAAGTGTGCGGACCAGATCACCTCAGCTTGCATCCTGTGACCAGCAGATGAAAAGAAGGCCCGGTTTAGGGTTTAGAGTTTAGGATTTAGGGTTTAGGGACTAGTTCTTACTGGCGTTTAGTAGGGAATGTGGGAATTTAGTGTATAGGGAGTATGTAGGGATTATATTCCTTTATTCCCTACTAAGGACCAAGAAGTTTTTAGGCGACTGAAGTCTCTCAAAAGCTAGTCATCCTAATCATGGCCCTGCTGGTTTCTGCCTGTTTACTGTTTGCCTGACTCCCACGGCTCAGCCATAGAATCTCATATGTCCCTATGTAACCTTATATAACCCCTATATACACCCTAAACCCTGAACCATAAACTCCCAGAGCAGCAAAGGCACCGTCTACAGGTGCCTGGTAGAAGCGGTCAGCTTGGTTGTCAGGGGCCTCGGACTCAGCAATCCCAGCCCCAATAGACTATAATTTCAGGGTTTAGGACTCTAGGGTTGAGGGTCCGGCTTTTGAATCAAGCCCCGAAAGACTCCAATCCCTTACTTATTATGGGGACCCCCTAGAAAGGTACCCCTGATTTTGGGAGCCCCCCCACCCCCATCCCCATGACAGACAAACTCAAGTTGCTACTGTGCCGGACCTTATGCAGGCGTCGCTGGACGATCAGCCCATCCAGCTCGCAAAGCATAGCCTGTCCACGTTCGTTGGAGATCCAGTCGAACCTCCAATGAGCAAGTGGGGAATCAAAATCTGCCAAGAAGGGCGTCTGATTGACATAATTGGGTCATTCTTGTAACCGTCAGTTCCAAACTTGTAAGCATCGTACCAAAGGCAGAAAGACGGATGCCCCGCCCCTCAAGAAAAACACTGCTCATCAATGCTTTACAAGGTCTGGCTCCGGACATTTTATACTCTTAGTCATCCAGCCCAAAACCCTAGTATAACCCCATTATAGTAGCTTCCATTTTATTATCCATTATCCCACTATCTCCCCTATATATCCCCTGTATAACTACTTTAATCCCTGTAGTTTCCATTTTCTGTTCCATTATCCCAATATAACCGCGCATCCAAACCCAAAGCTTCAGCCATGGAGCACATCATCTCCGCAAACCCACAGCAATTTGCTGCCCTCCGGATATTTCTTCCGCAGTGCCCGCAGCATCACCGCCTTGCCAGTTGGCAATACACATGTTCACAAAACGCCGCTCCTGTCAAGGTTTAAGCTCCGGCGTCGATATCTTATGTTAGGACGGTGGTATTGAATATGCATATGAACTTTCCAGCTCAAGTTGCAAGCATATGGGGTTTTGGAGACTGCTTCTGGCAGGTTTGCACCTGTTGTTGAAATTCAACAACATGCAGTTTGGTGACGCCGCGCGGCTAATGGACAGTTCTCTCCATTTACGGGCCAATGCTTGATGATGCTGATGGTTATCATCAGTCATTAGGATGTTGCCGCGCAACCCTAAACCCCTTAACCCGACTGTTGCCCACGAAACTTGCTGGGAACTGCGCTGACTGATTTCATGGGTCCCGACAGAAGGTTCTTCTCCTGAAACTTTCAGGGTTACGGGTTCAGGTTGACCAGAAAGCTCCTTTAACCTTGAACTGAGTTTAACATGCCACTTGTAGTAAGCTTGGTTAATTGAGAGATAACAACCCAGACCCCTGTGAGGATCTGAAAAGCCCCTAAATCAACCCATAATAACCCCGATATAATCTCGGTAGAAACCCCATCTACCCTTAGGGAACCTAATTTTTGGATCCCCTTGCAAAAATATCATCACACAGCTAGGACGTGGCCTACACCCTAAACCCTAAGCCCTAAACAGTCAGCCCTAAGCCCTAAGCCCTAAACCCTAATCCCGAAACCCTAAGCCCAGTGGGATGGGAGCCCGACGTTGGATTCCTCGGTCTCCTGTTCCACTGAACTGACGCCTGACCGGAAGCCCCGGTCGCCCAAGGGCACTTGGGGTTTTCCCAAGAATAGGGTTGGGTTTAAAGATTTAGGGTTTAGGGATCTAGGGTTTAGGGGTTTTAGGGGACATATTGGGATAATGGAAAAGAAAATGGAATCTACTGCTTTGGGTTCAGGGTTTAGAATACCTCGAACTAGGGGCACCTTGAAACGGGAAGTAGGGTTACATAGGGGTATATGGGGATAGGTCGGGATTAAAGTTTCACAAAATTAGGGGCACCTTTGTTGGGGTCCCCAGAACATAGTATTTTGAAGTCTATATTTGGCTGGGTCCCTGGAAGGAGGAAAATTACCATTTGATGTCCGCAAGGAGCTAAAATGTGAATCCAAGTCGTTACTGACTTAAAGACAGCATTCCGGACTTCGAATTCTTGATGAGGTCTGTGCGAGCTGAGCTAGCAAAAGAGAGTTTGAATCATGCAGCATGTTATGTAGCTGGGTTCCGCCTAGCCTATGCCACTGGCGGACACTGCGAGCTCGCACATGGCAACGCGGTCTTCAAAGCGAAGAAGGTCCTGCCGCCAAGCGAGCGTTAAACATGAGGCCTACAGAATCTACAAGTCGGCTCACTCGAGTCTCGCACCCCCCTTTGCTAGGCACAAGGTGTGCAAACAGCTGTTCTCCTTCTTCACGGGATGCTTGAACACTGGTACCTCATTGCACCGCATGTTATGAATCAGTTCTGTATGCTTACACGAAGCTCAGGTTGGCAACCGGCTTCGGAAATCGACGCGCTTTCCGTCATGGCTGCCCGTGGGGGTTGTAGTTGCTGCCATTGGCATGCTACGTTATACAAGGTCAGAGCAGCAATCGCAGGTTGAGAACAGATGAGAACAGGAGGGCCGCGCGGAATGGCGCCTCCTGGAAACTTTCTGTCAGTGTAGTAACCACGAACGAGGTAAAGTGAGCCACACAGGCACGTAGTTCTGTGCTGTCCCTGTGCAGCAAAGGACAGCAAATTTGTCAAGTGCCTGGCGGTTGCAAGCACCAAGCCCTTGTGAAGACCCATTCTGCATGCAAGGCGCGAGAACCACTTCGTCGACTGGCTTGGTCTGGTGCACCGTGATTGCCTTTTGATGCGGAGGGGTCAGAGGCTTCACCTCGTGGGTTGTGCATGTTTTGGTTGGTGGGGTTTGGGGTTCCAAAAGTTGCCAAGCGCAACAAAACCGTCTGTCGCCCGGAGCTTTCTCAACAAACTGTTCTAAAAGTTGCAAACTTGGCAGGACACGTCGTGTTGCTGCAAGAGCAGTCTCTTCCGGATCGGCGGGCGCAAGAACATTCTCCAAGCACCATTTAGCGGATTAGAGCTCGACGATGCGTCGCCAAGTTATTCCACCATTTTAATGTAAGGGAGGCCATCATCATTTGCCCGGTAAAAACCCTCTAAGATCCCTTGGTGTGTGAGGGGAGGTGGTGCAACATAATCGCAGTGTTCATTTCATGTTCCATGCTGTTTTGCTTTTGACTCTGCAATATTTAGTAAGCTAACCTTAGACTTGACAGAACCCATCTGTGAACAGATATGCACCCCCCCCCCATATCACAATAGACAATCCCTACTCAACCCCATGCAACCCTACTTTCATATAACGCCAAACCCTTACTAAACCCTTGAAGCACGGGCTGGTGTCTGAGGCCGGCACGTAAGCCCTAAACCCTAAATCTGGAAATTCCTGTCAGCCACACCCTAAACCCTAACCCCAAAACCCTCGGGCGCCCCGGCAAGCAATGCATGACCCAGGTGGATAGGGTTGAAGGATCCACCCATCACCTGAGCTTTGCTGTTGTCCAACAATTTTGGGAGAAAAAACGGGTTGAGGGTTTGGGATCAGGGTTTAGGGTAGCAATCGGGGTTTTCAACGGGTTCTAGGGGAATAGAAAAGAAACTGGAAACGACGGTTTCGAGTTTAGGGTTTAGGGATGTTACCCCGACAATAGGAATCAAATGGACAACCAGATGGAAAATGACTTTGGAAACTGCGATTCTATAAGTTCACACAAATATGGGGATCTCATGTTCTTTGGTGGTTGAAGCAGGTAAAATGATTTTCTTTCTATACCATACTGTACCCCAAAGGAGGTTGTGAATATCAGTCTGTATTCGAGGCTATAGTATCCGCAATTAAACTACGACCCACCTGGAAACTAGGCAGGCGAATTACTAAACAGTAGTGTTCTTTTACAATTGTAACCATAGGGGATATAGCCCTAAACCCTGAACCCTAACCCCTAAACTAAACTAACCTGGCTTTAACTTGAACATCTTCTGAGCTCGCCCCACGCCCTATTAACCTCGTTACGGGGTCTCGTTGAAGGGTCACTATAGAGGTTATGGGAGTTATATAGGTCCGGGGGTTTGCATAATCCCAGTCTTCACTTTAAGATTTGATTCTCTCCGGGTTTTTAGAAAACAAGCATCGGTATGAAGTCGAAGGACATTCTGGCAAAAGCATGCTGCAGGCCCTGGTCTCCACATACCCAGGCTTCTGATGCGACCCGAGCGTCCCCCACCACTTTGGGACTGTCTAACGGCGACATGGCGCCCTGCATCAAGTCGGGGCGTCAGTCACAAGGTTTAGGTTTTAAGGCAAGAACCCTAAACCCTACAGTCCCCCTAAAATAGATAGAGTGTGCCTTTGGGTATATTATGATAAGATCCCCATATATCCCATATTCTATCTACTTAAGGGGGACTATAGACCCCAACACCTTAGCACTGCCAAATGCGGGGCTCACAGGGGATGAGACTCATATTTCCATGTACATTCCCTGCAGCTACGCGAGCAGTCTCCGACTTAGTTAGGCGGGATATACTGGGATAATGGAAAAGAAAATGCAAACTGCTATAGTATATAGGGGTTATATAGGGATAATGGAAAAGAAAATGGAAACTACAATAGTAGATTTGGGGGCCTCGCAAAAACAAGTTGTCTGTCCTCATAGGGATGAAATAAGGTTTGACTGCAAAAAAACTAGCAGCTCATTTTTCAACCGACACCTGGTAGCCCCATCTGCGGGCCCTGCCTGGAAGAAGCCACGGCAGTGGCAAATAGCGGGCTGGACTCAAACGGCAAAAGCGGACAGCGAAGGTACGCATGGGTCTATCTGGGGCTTCAGGCGGGACCAGTAATCGGGGCAACATGGGGACTGCCTGCTTATATAAGGGGGGGCATATACGCATGCTAAAAATCGTTGAGCTTCAGGCATGTGCAGCTGACGGTTGCAAGTGCTTTCAAGCTATGAACTGTTTCGCGCCTGACAGAATGCAAGTCCATCAAGCTTTTGATCGCGAGCAGCAACTAGCAGCAAGTTATCCATCACTTCAGCGACTCGCAGTGTCGCAAATTGACGGTCAGACCTGGCGCCGGAGTGAAACCAAGCAGGGGCTTGGGATATTTTGAGAAAGCAGGGCATGCATAAAGGAGGGGCATTGGAAGGAAGGTTTGACAGTTCGGTTTTGAAAGGGTGTGAAGGTGTGTGAAGTACCAATGTAGCAGATGCCTTGCATGTAGACAGCCTATATCCCCCTTAAGTAGATAGAATATGGCTTCGGGCATATTATAACAAGATCCCCATATACCCCATATTCTATCTACTTAAGGGGGACTATACATCCAGCCCATTCATAGCCAGTAACTTTGGGGGCCTGCATGGAGTCCTGCCATGGGATATCTGAAAGCCGGACTGCAACACCCAACTGGGCTAGGCTTGGGCGGGCCCTGTGAAAATTAAAGCTTCTACGGCTGTATAGGGATTACAAAGGGATGAAACCCCAAACCCTAAGGGTAGCAGAAATACACAAGATCTTTTCAAAACTACCCCTGACCCACGCCTAAACCCTAAATCCTAAGAAGTGCTACAAAGCACTCCGCTTGCGCCCCCTGACAAATGCCATGCGCATAGGGTTTAGGGCTTGGGGTCTAGGGTTAAGGGCTTAGGGCTTAGTGTGTAGGGATGATGTGGTTGTTGTACAGAATACCTGGTACTTTCCATACTTGGGGGGGGGGATCTCGATGTCGACCCCCCAAGTCTACAATCCTGTCTGTGGAGACCCCCCAAAGATCAAGGCACCAACGTTTGAAAACCCAGCGTGCAACTAATCCTAAACCCTAAACCCGTAAACCCTAAACCCATCAGGTCATCATAACGGGCAGATGGCGATCCCCTTTTACACTCGCATCAAGAAGAGTGCCATTGACCTGCTTTGCGCCCACATTCGTGGGAAGCAGCAGTCTATAAGCTAAGCTGGGTTGCTGTCAAGGGACGTAAACTAAGTTACACACTCATACAAGGATTACTTAGTTCACGTTCCTCAGCAATCCAGGTAAAGATAACATGTGAGGCCACAAATCAGAACCGATGATTTGGATCGTGCTTTCGAATTATCCGCTGTCCAAATGAAACAATCTGGGCAACACTCCCGACTGAAATGTGCCTCCCATGCCGACACTGGGACCTTTTGGTACTAGAGGTTCCGTGCGTTAGATAACTGAAGAGTTGGTGGCATGGGCCCCTTGAGAGCATGCGGTGTCAGTGCGGCCTGGAAAACAACGTTAGTTGGACTCAGAGCAACGAAGAATTCACAAAAGGCAGAAGGAGTTCGGATCTTGCGTCACTGACCCAGGTTGGGCCGTGTTGACACCGTCATGCAGAAAAATCAGTGCCGCCATGATGAAACCAGGTCTGGAAAAATAGGTCAGCAACGCATCCAAATGGCGGTGCTACTCGTCACATGTCAACACTTATGGAATTGATCCCTATAGAACCCTATATAGTAGCATTATCCCTGCAAACCCTATATAAACCCTAAATGGTAATTTCCCCAAATAAGGGGACCCCAATATAGACCCCAATATACTACAATCCTTATTATGGGCACCCCAAAGAAGGATACCCCTAATTTTGGGAAACCCCTCTATAGTCCTTTTAGTACCTTGATACCATCCCGGGGCTTCATAGATTCCTGGAGGTACATGGTCGTTTCCCAAACTTAGGGTACCCCAATATAGACCCCAATATACTATAGTCCTTATTATAGGGACCCCAAAAAAAGGTACCCCTAATTTTGGGAAAACCCTAAACCCTAAACCCTAAACCCTAGGCCACAGTAGTGTTCTGCCTGGCCTGCGGTACTGAGGCCTTGCGGGCTCCCTTTGGGTAACCCAAGGCAAGGAGCTCGGAACTCCGGCTGACTAACTTGGTTTAGGGGTTTAGGGGTGTAGGGTTTAGGATTTAGGGGTTTAGGGGTTTAGGGGTTTAGGGTTTAGGGGTTTGGGGGTTTAGGGTTTAGAGTTTAGGAGTTCAGGTTTTAGGGTTCCGGGCAAGCGCCAAATGCTTTCTGTAACTGTATGTAACAAATGACAGGCCTTCTTGCTGCCTGCCATGAGAAACAAAGTCCGTAAACCTCCTAGGCCCTAAAACCTCCTAAGCCTATTCTTCGTAGAGCTTTGTCAGCATGCTCAGCTGCGAATCTAGAGGAAGATTT